TGGCAAGATGTTCTGCTCCTGAATCAGCTGTGTGGGTCTTGCCTCTAGCTTCCTTGCAGGGAGTTCTGCTGAAGAGTTCCCTGCTGGGCCTGCAGCCTGGGTCAAAAGAGGATCCCTGGGCCCGGGAAGTCTCACTCACTCGCCGGGCCTGCACTCCGGGTCTGTTTAGGATCCCGTGGCCCTGGTTGTCTCCCTCACTTGCCGGGCCTGCACTCCGGGTCTGTTTAGGATCCCGAGGCCTAGGTCGTCTCACTCACTCGCCGGGCCTGCGCTCTGTGTCTTACAATAGATTTTTACTTTCAAATAATGTCTTCTTATGTTTTATGAGATTCTTACCAATAATATTTCATTTTCACCGCAGAATAGAGTTTCCTTTGCTGTGCAGAAGCTTCAGTGTTGTGCCAAGCATGTATTTAGCTAAAACTTTGTAGGACTGATTGTTTTTTAGGGTATGTGTAGTATAACGTCTTTTGGAGTGAGAGAAATGAAAAACACTTAAAGACTGTTAGTAGAAGTGTTTAGTATCATTAGAGTAGTTCATTTAACAAGTTTATTTTGTCATTTAGTTGCTTTGTTTCTTACGATTCTACTTTTACTAGAATTGTACGAAACGCCCATGAGACGTGCCCTCTGTGTGTGAGTGATGACTGCTGTGTACACAGCCCGGTAGACAGTAGGAACTTCGTCATGTTTTAATAGAGGCCGCATGAATCTTTATTTGAAGTTTGCCTCTCTGAGTGTCTTTTTTGTCAAATAATAAAATAAGCTCTGGGTATTATACATCCTTTTCCTGAAAAGATTATGGTAATTGTATTGTATAGCAACTAATGAAAATTCAGAAAATTTCAAATAAACCGTAATATTATGTGACAGCTACAACCTTTCCTGTGCTTTTGTGTAATGAAATGTAAGAGTTAAACATTCTTCACAATTACTTCAGAAGTTTTCTCTCAATATTTCCATAGAGTGCAGACCCGCGAGACGTGATCCTTGTCAGGACAGATGAGTCTGGAAGAGCGTGGCCACTGAGCACTCCAGGGGCTCTGGAGTCACAAGCGGGGAGTAGGAGGAGACACAGGGTAAACATGACGTGTTTCTGTGTATTAATTCAGGATTTCTTTTTCCATGGAGCTTTTTTATGCTTATGATTAAAAAGTATTTTCAGAAATACATCTTATTAGGGCAAACATTAGATGGTAGTAACTTATGTTATTACTTTTATTCTTAATATCCCTTTCCCTTTTGTACAAAATGGATCTAATGTTTTAAAAATAAATTATGCATATTGAATCATTTTTATTCCCCTTTCCCTCCCTTCCCTCTTCCCTCCATCTCTGGATCCCCTTTCCCCATTGTATTATTGCTATCATAATTATTATCATTGTTATTATTTAGTTCATGTTTACAGCATATAAGATCACCTTCATTGAGGGTAATTGGTACATTATATGACACATTTTAACTGTTTTATGTCAATAATAGAAATTTTTTTTTCTTCCATTTGTGTAGAGGAACTACATTTCTATTAAATAGAATTGAAATTGATTTTTTTTATTTGATTCTAATTGGAGAGGAAAATTGAAATATGAATAATTTGCTTGGTCTTGCTTACAGTTGAGTTTTATATATTCCTTGATATTTTTTACTTTGCCACCTTCGGTCTCTTTGGTCTGTCCCTTCCTGTTTGCATAGGCTTTGTCTCCTTGTTTCTTTTTTCTTTTAGTTTGCTCTTCATTTGTACTTCGGATTACTCGTATGAGAGAAACCACATGGCCTCTAAGCCTGTGTGTCTGATTTATTTAATTTAATATTTTATTTTCAAGGTGTCTCTATTTTCCTTCAAATGAATACTGAGTATTCCATTATGTATAGATATCACATTTTATCTATTCATCTGCTTCCAAGATTTAGCTGTTAGGATAAAGGAAATAAACATACATTAAAATACTCGGGGAAGTGTTTAAACTTCAGTCTACTTGCTTTTTTTTTTTTTTTTTTTTAGTATAGGGTCTATAGGGTGTCACCATCTATGTTTTTTTATTTTTTTATTTGAAAAAATATATATACACTGTATTTTGAATTGTTCATATGAGCGAAACCATGCATTATTTTAGCTTACATATCTGCCTTTGTTGAAAAGAAAGTTTTGTGTTATGTTTCTTCTTTGTAGGCCTCTTTTTGATCTGTGTCTTATACGCTGAATAACTATTTTGAAGATAATGATACAGTGTATTATTTTATTGGGAAATTTTGTTCTAATTTTTCATAAAATGAAAGATTTAATTGTGACAAATTATGCTGCTGTGAACATGGATATGCATGTGTTACTGTAATATGATGTGTTTAATTCTTTAAGATAGCTACAAAAGGGAATAGCTGAGTTGAATGAAAAAGAATTTTTAGTTTTTTGAGAAATCTCAATACTGATTTCCCTAATTATTGTAGTAGTTTACATTCTTACCAACAATGTAGATTTCCTTTTTCACCACAGCTGTACCAGCATTAGTTATTACTTGATTTCTTGATGATTGCCATTCTTCCGGAGACGGAGCTCATTATTGTTTGACTGCATTTCTTTAACCATCAGTGAAGTTGAACATTTTTTCATGTATTTATTGGCCAGTTGTATTTCTTCTTATGAGAAACATTTGTTCATTTCAGATGCCCATTTCTTGAGTAGGTCTCCTATTTTGGAGGGTCTAATTTTTTTGAGCTCTTCATATATTCTAGAGACTAGTCTTCTCTTTGAGGTGTAGCTAGCACAGATTTTTTCTTTCTGTGGGTTATTGCTTCACTCTCTTGGTTGTTAGTTTTTCCTTGACTGTGCAGAAGCTTCTTAATTTGATATCTTCCCATTTGTTGGTTCAAAACTAGACTCATATCTCTCACCATGTACTGAACCAAAATCAAAATAAAGCAACGATCTAAATGCTAAAATAGAAACATTAAATCCGCTAGAAGATAAAATAGGTAGAACTCTTGAAGACATAGATGTAGGCAGAATATAAACAAAAACCCAAATTCCATGGGAAATTTTACAATGTAAAGCTCTAATCTCATCCTACAATAAAGTTTTTGCACAGCTAAAGAAACCACCAACAAAGAAAAGATAGCCCACAGAATAAGGAAATATTTTTTGCCAGATGTTCCTCAGACAAAAAACTATCCAGAATAAAGAAGTCAAAAAACTCAGCCCTCCCCCCAGATTTAAAGACCCAATCCAAAAATGGGCATCTGAAATGAATATGTACTTCTCAGATGAAGTATAAGTGACATACAAGAAAATGTTCAATATCTATTATTTCAGAGATGCAAATTAAAATGCTGAGATTCCAGTTGTGTCCCAAATTTTCTGATCAAGGAGATTATGGGGCCACAGAGGAAAGTGATTGGTGATGTAGAATGTGCCTAAGGAGAGTCACATGGAGAGAAAACTTTTTCTCAGGCTTTCACAGAGAGCAAATTGGTCAAACAATGGCCATGACTCATCCACGTGGCTGACACTGACAAAGGATCTACAAACTGCGGTACAGGTTTTCAGTCTAAATCCTGAGGGGATTTGACTGACTTTGTCAGATTCAAAAGTTACATTTCTTGTTATATAGGTCTTGCTTTATCTTGATTTCAACCATCCAGCAGAAAAGTATAAAAATGAGGTATATAAAGTAAAGTCATACTAATATACTGAGCTGTAAAATGCTCAAGTCAATGACTTCTGATATTGCCAGTCCTACAGATACCCCACTACTATTATGGACTACTGGAATATATTGGATTATTTTGCTGAATTTATGCATCTACAATATTTAAATGACAATGGAATACCCATATCTGACAAAACTAAACAAAAAAGGGGATACAAATGAAGGACCATTTTGTATCTGTATATTCAAAATTGGATAGGTATACAATTGCATTCTCTTAATTCAGTGAATAGGAAGATTTGTTCTAGTGTTTGTAAACAGGATATCATGTCTGCATCTTGTACTGTGAATAACCACTAAGAAGACAACAATATGCAATGTATTAATTTTGAAACTGTCCTACTAATTGGTTTTGAAATGGTCCAATTGCTATTTGTTTCTCAATAAAATTATTTAAGAAAATAAAATAAAATGCTGAGATTCCGTCTCACTGTGGAAAGAATGGCTATTACCAAAAAATCAATCAATAACAAATGTTGGCTGAACTGTGGGGAGAAAGGAACCCTTCGCTACTGTTGGTAAGAATGCAGACTGATGCAAGCACTGTGGAAACCAATGTAGAGATTCCTCAAAACACTAGGACTAGTAGTTCCCTTTGACCTTGTTGCTATTTCTTGTACCATTGAAATTTTGTTCAGAAAGTCTTAGCCTACACCTAAGACATCAAGAGTTTTACTTGTTCTGTCTTCCAGTAAGTTCAGAGTTTCTGCTTAAATATTTAGATCTTTGATCCATTTTCATTTTAGTTTATTACACAGACATATGGGTCCAGCTCCAGTCTTCTGTGTGCCTATAGGTAGCAAGTTTTCTCCACACTGTTTGATAAATGGGCTGTTCTGCCTCCAGTGTATGTTTCTGGCCTGTTTGTCAAAGATCAAACAGGTGAATGTATCTGGGTTGCTTCTGCATCCTGTGTTCTGTTCCCTCAGTCCACGTGTCTTGTGTTGTGCCAGTAATTTTTTATCACTGTAGCCTTGTAGTGTAACCTCAAGTCCAGGATTGTGATGTTTCCTATTGACTTTAATTTCCCAGGATTGCTTTTTCTGGTTTCATGTGAATTTTAGTTTTTTGGGTTTTTTTTTCTAGTTACATGAAGAATGTTGTAGCTATTTTGATTTGGATTGTATTAAATCAGTTTTGGAAGTGGCCATTTTGACTATGTTGTTTCTGCCTATCCAAGAACAGGGGCTATTTTAACATTTTTTGACGTCCTCTTTCATCTCCTTTTTTAGAGTACAGTTGCACTTTGGTTCACAAACTTAATTTCTTCTATGATTTGGGAGGGTTTTGTTTGTTTGGGTACCGGGAATTGAACTCAGCACCTTGTGGTTACCAGGCAGGTGCTTGTGCTGTTGAGCTATATCCCTGGCCCTGTTCTGTGATTTAGGAAACAATGGCCATGTTTATGTTTGTGTGGGAATGATGACTATGGTCCTGTTTATCACTAGATGCATAGTTTGCATATAAAAACAAAATTTTGCCAGATGCTTCTGTTTGTGAACCAAATTGTTTGCAAACAAAATCATTTAAGCCATGTTACCACTTTAGGGTAATTTTTATTATAGAGGCATTTCCTTTCCTTGATTAGGTTAATTCCTAAGTTTTTCTTTTTCTTGGTACTACTGTGAATGATGTTGTTTTCATTTCTTAATGAGTTTATTATTGGTATACAGGAACCTTACTGACTTTTGTGTGATTTTGCATCCTGTACATGGTTAAATTTTGTTTTAATTCTAGAACTTATTTGGTGGAGTTGCTTTTGGGTCTTCTATGTTGAGGATCTTGTTATCTGCAAGTGATGATAATATGACTTTTTCTTCTTTTTTAAAACATTTATTTATTTAATATGGGGTCTCACTATGCAGCAGCTAGGACTCAACTTATAGTAATCTTCCTGTCTCAGCTTCCCCCGTGCTGGGATTACAAGCGTGTGCCACCACACGTGCTTTCCGTCACTGGCATGATGTGATCAAACGTGGGTCCTTGCACTTGCCAGGCAGGCGCTTAGACCACTGAGCTATCTCCCATCCCCCTCTCCCCTTTTTAATTATTTTTTTCTTTTTTCTATACATACCCATTTTATTTCTTTCTCTTGCCTGATTGTTCTGGCTTATGGCTTTAGTCCTGTGTTGAATGAGATTGGTAATAGTGGGCATCTTTGTCTTTTTCCTGATTTAGAGTGAAAGCTTTCAACTTGTATTTAATACAATTTTGGTGGTTGGTTTGTCACAAACGACTTTTATCAAATTCAGGTAAGGTCCTTCTGTACCTTTTTCTTGTAGGATTTTTATCATGAGTGGATTTTTAATTTTTGTCAAAAAACACTTTATGCATCTATTCATGTGACCATGTGGTTTTTGTTTGTGTTTCTCTTTATGTACTTTGAGTGTATTGAACTATCTGTTGATGTATCCCTGGAATAAAACCTATTTGTCGTATTGTATGATCCATTTGATGATTAGTTGAATTCTGTTTGTCAATATCTCACTGAGGATTTTTGCATCTGTGCTCATTGAGATTGTACTGTAGCTTTTAGTTGGGTCTTTGTCCAGCCCCTTTTCACTTTCTTTGAAAAGTTTGCGAACTCTTGGTATTATAATCTCCTTAATGATCTTATAGAATTCAGTAATGAATCCATTAGGTCCTAGGGTTTTCTTAGTAGGTTGGTTTTTCTTATTACTGTCTTCATTTCATTGCTTATTATTAAACGTTTAGAGTTTCTTTTCTTTCTTTCTTTATTTTTTTTTTTCCTGTATTTAGAGCAGGATTTACGGGGTGTTCAAGGTCTTACTACGCAGATTGGACTTGTAGTGATTCTCCTGTTTACAGCCTCCCAAGTGCTGGGATTACAGGCATGTGCCACCATGCCCAGTCTCAATCGCTGTCTCAGCTCGCCCTAGGGGCGGGGCAGCATGGCATGGCACTCAGAAGATGAACCCTGGCTTCTGTGCTCTGCCTAAGCAGGTGCTTTAGTCTGCTGAGCTACCAGGCTAGCCCCAAGTTTTGATGTCCTAGTGTAATTTTGGAATTCATAGAATTCTAGGAAATAGTACATTTCTTGAAGATTTTCCCATTTGTGGAAGTATAGTTTTTCACAGTAGTTACTATCTTGTGAATTTTGATGGTATCCATTGTGATTTTGCGTTTTTTATTTGCAGTTGTATTATTGAGGGGTTTTTTTTTGTCTTTTTTTTAGTAAGTTTGGCTTAGAGTTTATTTTGCTTATTCTTACAAAGAAACAGCTGTTTAGTTTATTGATTCTTTGTATTTTTTGCTTCAATTTCATTAGCTTTTATTCTGAGTTTTATGATTTTTATCTCTAATGTTTAAGGCAAGTTTAATTCTAGTGTACATTTCTTTGATGTTGTATCTAGTTTTTTTTTTTTTAAATTTTATTTTATGTGTGTGTGTGTGTGTGTGGCCAGCTCAGCCCACCAGGGGGCGGGGCTGGCTGGCATGTGGTGCTGGGGGATTGAACCACGGTCCCTGTGCTTTGCTAAGCTTGTTTTAAGTAGGTGCTTTAGACCACTGAGCCATCTCGCCAGCCCCAATGTATCTAGTTTTTAACATACTTATTCACAAGTCTTTGAGGCCAAGTTTATGGGACCCGGCAATGCAGTATCCCAACACAGTAATGTGTGAATTATGTAGGTTCTGTGAGCCTTTACATATCTTTTTTTTTTTTTTCTTTTCCCGCTCTTATGATTATTTATTTATTTTTACTTTTTGGCAGAACCAGGGATTGAACTCAGGCTCTTGTGCTTGCCAGGGAAGCACTTACTCTACTGAGCCATGGCGCTGGCCCCTCCCATAATTATTTTTAGTAGTATCTTGAGGCCCTTAAGTTGGCAAAAACAATACACTGTTTTGTTTGTTTTAGTGATCCTCCTGTTTTCAGGCTCCCCAGCACTGGAGTTATAGGCATGCAGCACCATACTGGGTCTCTGGTGTTAGCTCAGCATGCCTGGGGTTGGGATTGGTGCGGCATGTGGTGCTGGATATTGAGCCCGGTTCCTGTGCTTGTCTCATCGTGTGGTTAGTCCGCTGAGCTATCTCACTGGTCCCAACACACTGTTTTTAATTTTCCTAAGTTAGGTTTTTATTTTAAATTTGACTATGATGCAAATATCAATTGATTATCTGAAAAAAATTTCAGATTTTTTTCATTTTTGTGCTGAACTTTTCTACCAAATGTTTATTTCTCCTTTGGTTGCTTATGCTACTAATGATTATAATTAGTTCTTTCAATAAATAGAAATGTAATTTCTTTGGCAACTGACAATAGACATTTTTCTAATATGATAGTAATTAGGAAGAGGAGAACAGTAAAGAATAGTAAAAGTTTGAATATGGGAAATGACAGAATTGACTTGGATTCTATAAGCACATAATGAGATGGTACTGAGAGCTCTGTTTGAGTTACTTACTATTGAACAATCTGGGCATAGCAAACGTAGACACATTGACTCAGCAGTTGTGATTTTCTCTTTGTGCATGATGAAAGGACAAGTGGGCCAGAAATTATAAAGATTTGGAACCAGGGAGTGACTGAAGTCATGACATATGAGAGGTGTGAACTAGAAGAAAAGAATAGCACTATTGGGAAAATCAGTGGACTCTGGTTCCAAAGATCTCAAAGAAATTGAAGGTCAAAATTTATTTGGTTAAAGAAATAAAGAGGAGTGTCAAGGAGATTTGATGTGGGGGATATAAATAACACTTTTCTATTTCATTCCTGGATATGGAACCAATTGAGAGGAAAATTTGGGATTCAAATAGGTGGGGATCCACGTATCAGGTTTTGTTTCTGATAAAGCTGTATGTATAACAAGGGTTAGGTGTGGGTATCTTAGCAATTCCATTTGCTGTAATAGAATATCCTAGATGGAGTGGTCTAAGTAATATGAATTCATTTCTTATAGTTCTGGAGACTGGGAAGTCCAAATCAGGGCACGTGTGTGGTGAGATCATGTTTCTTTATATGTTGATAGTGATTTTCTCATTCTACCCTCATCTGGCAGAGAAGAAAGCTGGTGAACGGGAGGGAAGGAAGAAACGGCATTCTCATGTCTTCTTTTTCTTTTTCTTTTTCTTTTTCTTTTTCTTTTTCTTTTTTTTTTTTTTTTTGTGGAACCAGAGATTGAACTCAGACCCTTGCACTTGCCAGGCAAACGTTTATTCTACTGAGCTGTCTCTCCAACCCCTCTCATGTCTATTGATAAGGGTATTAATCTTATTCACGACCTACCATCATGACCTGAGTACCTCCTACAGAGACCCCCTGCTTAGGGCTATCAATTTGAAATTTCAGTATGTGAGCTTTTGGGGGCAAGGGTTCAAACATTGTCCAAATTAAGTCTACCACAGTGAGTTTGCTAATACTTAAACTGTTTTAGATATACTTATTCCATCACTGTGTAAGTGTAGTCTACCTTTTAATTACAAGGAGTTTTAACTACAGAGAAATGCAGAGAGGAGAGAGAGAGAGAGAGAGAGAGAGAGAGAGAGAGAGAGAGAGAGAGAGAGA